TCAGTGCTTAGCATAGTACCTGACACATAGTAGGCACTAAATAAATATTTAGTGAACTGAGTTGAATGAACAAAGTTTATACAGGAGATCTTTGTTGTAGGTAATCATTTTAAAGGTACTGATAGCTCAAAGTATCTGAAAGGTATTCTTCCCCTTGGTGGGGAAAAATCATCATCAAAAAAGATGACAGAGAAATACAAATAACTACCAACCCATATGTCTCCCATCTCCACAAAATCATTATGAAAACGGTCTAGTATTGAGGATATCCTTGAAGGTAGACTTTAAAAAATGATAGGCTATAGCAGGCCACATTTTTACAACCATACAAGTGACTAAAAGGTAGAGAATACAAGATCCCATGGTACTTGATTTTTTTTTAACTATAAAAAAAAACATTTGATTTGGTAACACAAAACACTGCCCTAAATGTTTTCTCCAACTAGGTATTTTTTGTGCTCCTGTCAAAGTCACTTGAGAATTATCCCTGAGTTTGCTATTTATGCAGTCAGACCATTGGCTCATCTAATTTTACAAGAACAAGAATAGTAATAAGAAGACATGCCAAATAAATGACTTAATCCTGAATTATTTAAATAAGCTATGAAAAAAAATCAGAAGTGACCACAGAAATAACATCAACACCAACTATATTAATTTCATTCCTAAGTTAAAACAATATAAATTGATTGTAACAATAAGGAGACAAAAAGAGCCTAGAAAACACCTTATTCAGCAAACTTGATTTATATACCAAACAGAGAGGGATTAGATGGCTGTCAAAGGGAAAACTGGATTCTCATTTGTAAACTACTGTGAAGGATGATGGCAGATTATGGGCAGTGTCATCTCATAAAGCAGTGAGATAAGGTGGAAGGTAAAACCAGTCTAAAGAAAACTTGGCAAAATAGCCAACTAAGCAAATTCATCCCAAGGGCATTCAAGGTTGAAAATGAAAGAAAACAGAAGAAAATTTAAAAAGATGTGCAAAAATTATTAAAATAAACTATTTTTTTTCCATTAAGGAAAATGGAACCATCATACTTGGACCCACTTATCAGAGTCCTGAAGTACTTACAGAGAGAGCAAAACTAATGAAAGCTCACTGAAAAGAGCAACGATGTGAAAAGCAGCTAGGTGGCATCAAATATTTACAAAGGAAACCTGTACTAGAAGAGGTATAATTTTGAAGACATTGAAGGAGAATGATTTAAAAGGTTTCTAAAGTAGGGGAAGATAGCAAAAGTATGGAGAAAATCTTGGACTTTTATTTATTTAAAAATAAAAAAAGGTGATCAAGAAAACATCAACATTACCCACTTAAATTACCTATTATCCACTTAAACTACTCCCACATCTACACAAAATCTGAGTCACCTATCTAAAGGTGAATTGAATGAATTAATGTATTACATTCCTCAAAGAGTGCATTAGTAGGGAAAAACAGACTTTCACAAGCAATATTCCACAATGGACCACCTTTTTGCCATCTCACAACTAACCAAAAGATATAGAGGATATAAGATGTCAAACCAGCATCTGACTGAATAGGAGAAAACACCTTATAGCTTCTTTTACAACAACATGTCTCCCATCCATATATCTGGGTCCAGAGAGCCTCATAAGACACTACATGCCCTCCCTCATCAGTTAACCTCAGGTAAATCAGTGAATATTCTAGTCCCATACTCTCATCCTCCTCAACTAATTATTAGATTCAAAGACGTAAAGCACAGACGTGGAAGCAAAGGTAGTCAATACCATTTTATTCCCCATGAATTACTCTCCTAGACCCCCTGAAAAGAAGAGAATATTTCTAACACGGCAGCTAGGTGGCACAGTGGATAGAGTGCTGGGCCTAAAGTCTGGAAGACCTGAGTTCAAATCTGGCCTCAGACACTTCCCAGGCATGTGACTCTGGGAAAGTCACTTAACTCTGTTTGCCTCAGTTCCCTCATCTGTAAAATTAAGCTGGAAAAGGAAATGGCAAACCATTTCAGTACTTTTCCCAAGAAAACCCAGGCCCCCAGAAAAGGTTTAGAAAGAATTGAACATGGCTGAAAACAACTAAACAACAATCTCCAACATGAAAGGCAGCATTACATAAAGAAAGCTGATCTCAGAGACAGAAAGTCCTGAGTTCAAGTCTTGCCTCAACTCATAATGGTTATATGGACCTTGGCAACCCACTTAACTTCAGTGCTGTAGACAGCTCTCTAACAATATAAGTTGGAGAGAAGGCAACCACCATCATTGGTAGAGGATGTTTCTTGCTAGGAATTTCCTTTTTCAATGGGATCACAAGCCCTATTCCTACCTGTCTTTTTTCTAGCACCTGGCAGAGATTATGACTTTTACTACACACAAAGGAAAAGCTAAGAAGCCATTTTTGGAGCTGTTACCCCACCCCCATCTGAAAACTGCCACATCATTCCCTGAATTTGCAGCATCCCACTCTTGTCTCCAGGTAGCTAGAAAGAATATCTCTTAATGAATATATTGTGGACACATTATGTCTTGCATAGGGGTTCCTTTTCCCCTCTCTAGTGTAGTTACTGCATAATTATTCATTTCAAGTGGCATTTGCCACCAAATGAATGAAATAAAATGGGTATAAGGAAATTATCAAGTCTTCTTCTGATTTTAAAAAACCCTGAATACAAGGATCCCTCATTCCAAATACTACAGTCAAGGGTCCTAATTTATTTGGAAAATACCTAGCACTTAGTTCAAATGGAAGAGAGATTCCTTAAAGATCGTGTAGTCCTCCAAATACTCCTACTTATGGATGGAATTACACTGATTGCATCAATCTCTAGAACATTGCAGAATCTTCTGAGATCCATAATCACCTAAAAGAGTTTTTTGTTTGTTTTTTGAACCATCCACAAAGGAAAAACCAAATTAATGAAGAATACCTATTATCATAACTATGATATATGGTTGAATGGACAGAAATTACAAATGGCTAGTAAGCTGGGCCCAGAACTTAATTGGAGGAGTAGAGCAGGCTACTTTGCCTTTGGGAAACTGTGCCACGCTTTTAATGACCCTGAACTTCTCCTTAAAACTAAGGCTCATCTTTAAAACAATATTTTTATAATGATGCCACATGGCTCTGAGTTATGCAATATCAGCATCTAAAAATTAAAGTTGTAAGTCACCTGGAAGGTAAGGAGAGGCACATGGTAGGTGTGAGTATGCCACAGCATATTAGTAAGGAAGAACTGTATTGAAGTTTCATCAGAAAAATGTAAGTCAGGAAAGACACATTTTACTATGTGGGCACATAGTAAAAGCAATGGATAACTGGCAGAAAAACTATATGTAAAGAAAATAAAACATTCCCAACCCATGGGTGAGCCCTGTGGAAGGTTCATGGTAGGACATATTGAAGATTGCAAGGATTAGAAGGTATGGATGGGTTTTAATTATATGGAGGAAGTGTCCATATTGATGATCCATCAGAGTATTTATGTACAAGCAGCACCAAATTTGAAATAATGTCAACTAAAAGAGGCAACCAGGATGAGTTAAAATTTCCAGAGTCTCATAGCAAGAGCTCTGTCAGATAATCATTAGTGCTAGAGTCATAAACTTTAATTTGGCAGACAATCACATATGTAGAATAGCAGTTTTCACATCAAATTAATCAACCACAGTTTTTTTCTAAAAATATTCATATAGTCCATCAGCTCAGAGAGAACAAAGGGTAGTGAATTATGTCTAGAGCAATGAAAAGAGAGATGTACATCCTAATGCTTTTTAAAAACAGCTGTTTCACTATTAATCTTGCTTAAGACATTTCAGTTAAATTTTTTCCACCTGTAAAATTAAAATTTTGTTGTTATTTGTTGTTTTCAGTCACGTCTAACTCTTTGTGATTCCTTTTTGAGGAATTTTCTTGGCAAAGATATTGGAATGGTTTGCCATTTCCTTCTCCAACTCATTTTACAGATGAGGAACTGACGCAAACAGGGTTAAGTGACTTGCCCAGGGTCACACATTTAGTAAGTGCCTGAGGATGCACTTGAACTCAGATTTTCCTGACTCCAGGACCAGCACTCTATCCATTATACCACCTCGCTGCCCAAAATTAAGATGATCTCTATCTACTGTGAGCTGAGACCATGAATGACACAATGTGTAAAAAAGTGCTTTGAAATATCTGATTTACAAGGTGAGGCAAAAGTCAGTACAAATGAAGAGACTATCTGACACTTTTCAACTGTCAAGTGTCTTCTGCTTCACCTTGTATAAGCACAATGGTATGAATTTTAACTGGGGAGTGAGTGTGTGTGCCTTAATGATCCAAATCCTCCCTTTTACCTTTACTCATTTCACTAACATTTACCAAGCACCTTTTGTGGGCAGACCTAGCCACTGGAGGAGATGCAAGATTTATAAAAGTAAAGGCCAATCTCAGAATCCATAAAGCTAACAGGCTTGAAGGAGCTAAATACACATACAGATAGCTACAATACAAAACATTACATGACAAATGAAAAAAAGAAGAGCAGAGCAGAGTGGGAAAGGAAGTCCGAGGCAAGAAGAACCAGCCTCCTCTCACTTTTGCTATGAGCTACTTCTGCAATTAATGATTCACATTCTGTAAGAATTTAGGATTTCAAAGGCACTTTCTGTACAGCTTCCCCGAGAGCAAAGTAGTAGAAATATCATTATGCCTGCTTTATATCAGACGACTTTACAGCTGAAGTTTACTGGCTTTGTCATCACACGGGCATCTCCTGGCCTTTTCAACTCCCCTGCCTCATTCTGCACAGTCTACTTAGGTTCAGTACCACAGCTGTCTATAACCTTCCTCCTAGAGTATTCACTACCATAACAACCGATACTACATCTAGCATGTTTAGTTTTTGTTCCATTAAAACTTGACAAATATATATGGTCCATCTGATAACAAAGAAAATAAAACAACATTCATTTGGAATATGATCTCCTGGTAGAATAGTCTAGAGTCTAGACAAATAAAAGCTTACCTCAGCCACTTCCTTTTGAAAGGTCAAGGTCATCTGTGTTCTACCATAAATAAAAGGTCCATCTCTTTTAGAAATATTTTCAAGCCATTTGATAATCAGTGGAGTAGACACACTGAAAGGCAGGTTGCCAATAATATACACACTTGGAGGATCTGTTGGAATCAAGGGAAAGGCCCAAGGTAATTTTATCAGTATATTCTGAATACATTTTAAGGATAAATTAAAACTGGATAATTATTGTGCTAACATAAAGCTTCATGAAAAGATGCTTTTGTTTTTTGTTTTTTTTTTTTACTAGGCAATGGGGTTAAATGACTTGCCCAGAGTCACACAGCTAGTGAGTGTTATGTGTCTGAGGCCGGATTTGAACTCAGGTCCTCCTGACTTCAGGGCCAGTGCTCTATCCACTGCCCCAAAAAGATGCTTTTGAACTACAAACAAAACAAAACAAAACAAACAAACAAAAAACTGTCCAAAAATTTCCATTGCAAAATCAAAGACCAAAGGTTAAAATTAAATCCTAAAGTTCTGCTCATGGCTATATACTGACCCCAAAACACTAAGAAAAAATGCACATCATATATTAGGAAGTCTAAAAATAATAAAGTCTAATAAAAAATGTGTTTAAATGTAACTATGTTTTTAATGTTTCCAAACTACTATACAATGTAAGTTTCTTCCTTTAAAACAAACTTTGCTATTTTGCACCAAATTTGATTTTATACTTGTAAGTGCCCAGAAAGCAATTAGAACAGTATTAGTAAAATTCAAAATTATGTAAACAATAGTAAGTAATTTACTTCCACCTATATTAGTCACTCTATGCCTCACTTCTTTCCTCTATAATTAAATGAGTACCAACCAGCTATATGATTTTTACATAGTTATAGAATTTGGATTAAAACACAAGAAAACTGATTGCTACTTAAGCTTACTAAACCACTTGTTTCCCCTACATGCCAAAAATAGAAGGGGAGACAGCCATTTTTAAACATTCCTCAATGCTTTTATAGTATCAGAGATACATGGCTTATGATACCTTTGTGGGGGGGGGGAGAAAAACATAAATACACAAAACAAAATTTTGAACATATGAAGTAAAAAAATTTCAAAAAGGAAAAAATAGCTAGTTTTTATATGAAAATCATAAAATATTTTCTCATTTACAACAGTATAATTCATGTAAAAGATGTGTTCAGAGAAATGATAACCACAATAAACATTTAAAAATAAATGGAAATCACAAGTAAACACTTACCATCTTCCCACTTTCTTTGAAGGTGTTCTGGAAAAGCCTTTTCTAATTTAAACGTTAATACATCCCCATGGACAATTCTCAGTTTTCCAGGTGCTGCATCAGATAGCATCTATTTTAGGAAAACCAAATAAAATTCATTAATTCATTCCTGATACTATGTAAAAATCTACACATTTTCAATCTCAAATTTATGTGGGAATAAATCAACTTCAGGAAGTCATGTAAGTTCCTCATTCCAGCTCTACTACAGGCTCACATTATATAAAACTTAAAAGCCTTAATTTAATTATCTTTAAAACAGGACAGTAATTCTGACTTACTTCTGTTCTGAACAGTGTCATTTACTAGAATATGTATGTTTCTGTATGCTTTATCTAACTCAACAAATATTTATTCAATGTCACCTCTGTATTAAGGACTGTTTTAAGCACTGGGGATACAAAGATGACTAAAACTCAATTCCTGGCATCATGGCCTTACAAATTCCAGTCATATTTTTGAAGGAAATAAAATAAAATGGATAGAAAAGGGAAAAAAGAAGACTATTAAAGATTTCACTTTAAATGGTAATATTGTGATTATCACTAAACTTATCAATATAACAATACAACTCAAGAAACATTAGGCACCTACTCTATATAAAGCACTGTGTTAGGCATAGGGAAAATTCAAAATTTAGAAAAGAAACAGTCCAATTGGGGATATTATACATACAAAATATACTATAATACAAAATAATACATGGCCACTGTATGAAAGGTACAAATTGTTATATGAGGCTTGATTGGGGGGGGTCATTAAGGATCAAGGAAAGCTTCCAGGAAACGAGTATTATCTGAGTTGGGATTTAAAGATTTCCACAGGTAGAAGGGGAAAATATTATAGGCTTAGGGAAAAAGCACGATAAAAGGCAGAGAAATAGAAGAACATAGGGTAGATATAGACTGCTGAATAGTCCAACTTGGCTGGAACACAGACTCCATGGATAAAGGCAAAGTGGCACCAGATCTGGAAGGCCTTTGCATGCCAGTCTAAGGAGTTTCAATCTTTTTTGGGTAGGCAATAAGAAGCCATTAACAGACTCTGATTTGAGAAGTAATTTGACCAAAGCAAATTATAATCTTAATTCTAACATGCTTCTTTAAAATAAGTTTACTTCAGGGGGCGGAGTCAAGATGGCAGAGTAAGAGTGGCTGATCAGATGGGGATTGCAGGGATCTCTCTGCTGGTGCAGGATTCTCTTGCTTTGCCCATGCTTGGATCTGGGTCACAGTTCCGGGTGGCTGTCCTGGGGCAAAGAGGAGCGCTGGCGTGGTGGAGCTTGTAGTGGCTGTGGAGAGGAAACCCTCCTCACAGTTCTAAGACAGAAAAGAGTGCTCATAGACCAGAGCACAGGCCAGGAAAGGAGTAAACACCTCCCCCTTGATCATAGCACCTTGGAAGAAATGAAAATTTACAGGTCCCTAGAAGTATCTCTGAAAACAGCTGCACAAAACCCCTGAAGCTTGGGGACAGTACATTCTCCACACTGGAAACAAAGAGCCTGCAACTCAAGTAATTGGCTGAGATCATGAGCAAGCAGTGCAAAAAGAGTCAGACTATATTATCTTACTTTGGTCACAAAGAAGATCAAAACATACAACCAGAAGAAGACAATGAAGCCAAAGCTCCTACATCCAAAGCCTCCAAGAAAAATATGAATTGGCCCTAGGCCATGGAAGAGCTCAAAAAGGCCTTTGAGAAGCAAGTAAGAGAAGCAGAGGAAAAACTGAGAATGATGCTAAAGGAGACCCAAAAAAATACTGAAGAAAATAACACCTTAAAAAATAGCCTAACCCAAATGGCAAACGAGGTCCAAAAAGCCAATGAGGAGAAGAATGCCCTAAAAAGTAAAATTGGCCAAATGGAAAAGGAAGTCCAAAAGCTTACTGAAGAAAATACTTCCTTAAAAATTAAAATGGAGAAATTGGAAACTAGGGATAATTTGAGAAATCAAAGCACTGTAACACTAATCCAAAGGAATGAAAAAATAGAAGAGAATGTGAAATATCTCATTGGAAAAACAACTGACCTGGAAAATAGATCCAGGAGAGAGAATTTTAAAATTATTGGACTATCTGAAAGCCATGATCAAAAAAAGAGCCTAGACATCATCTTTCAAGAAATGATCAAGGAAAACTGCCCTGATATTTTAGAACCAGAGGGCAAAATAGAAATTGAAAAAATCCACCGATCACCTCCTGAAAGAGATCCCCAAAGGAAAACTCCCAGGAATGTTGTAGCCAAATTCCAGAATTCCCAGATCAAGGAGAAGATATTGCAAGCAGCCAGAAGGAAACAATTCAAGTACTGTGGAAACATAATCAGGATAACACAAGATTTAGCAGCTTCTACATTAAGGGTCCGGAGGGCATGGAGTATGATATTCCGGAGGGCAAAGGAGTTTAGGACTACAACCTAAAATCACCTGCCCAGCAAAACTGAGTATAATCCTTCAGGGTAAAAAATGGTCATTCAATGAAACAGGGGACTTTCAAGCATTCCTGTGGAAAAGACCAGAGCTGAATATAAAATTTGACCTTCAAATGCAAGACTCAAGTGAAACATGGAAGAGGTAAACAGGAAAGAGAAATCATAAGAGACTTACTAAGGCTGAACTGTTTACATTCCTGCAGGGAAAGATATTTGTAAATCATGAGTCCTTTGTCAGTATTAGGGTAGTGGGAGGGAAAAAATTTTATGTATGTATAGATAGATAGATAGAGGGCACAGGGTGAATTGAAGATGAAGGAGTGATATCTGGAAAATAAAATTAAGGGGTAAGAGAGGATTATACTAGGAGAAGGAGAAAGGGAGAAGTAAAATGAGGTAAACTATCTCACATGAAACAGACAAGAAAAGACTTTTACAGTGGAGGGGAAATGGGGAAAGGTGATAGGGAATGAGTGAATCTCATTCTCACAGGATTTGGCTTAAGAAGGGAACAACATACACAATGGGGTATGGAAATCTATCTTACCCTACAGGAAAATAAGGGGAGAAGGGGACAAGAGAGCAGGGGGTTAGTAGAGGGGAGGGCAGATTGGGGGAGGGGATAATCAGAAGCAAACACTTCTGAGGAGAGACAGGGTCAAAAGAGAGAGTAGAATAAATGCGGGGTAGGACAGGATGAAGGGAAATATACTTAGTTTTTCACAACAGGACTACTGTGGAAGTGCTGTGCTTGACTACACATCTATAACCTGTACCGAGATGCTTGCCTTTTCAATGAGGGTGAGTGAGGAGGGAGGAAGGGAGAAAATTTGTAACCCAAAGCTGTAAAAACACATGTTAAAAAAAAACAAAGAAACAGAGGACCTAGATTCAAATCCTAATTCTACTACTACCTGGGTCAAGTTGGGTAAGTTACTTTACTTCTGCAATCTCCGTTTCCCCATCTGTGGGATGAAGAGGTTGAGCTAGAGGTGCCCGGAGATCTCTTCTGGCATTACTAGATCCCACCATCCTTAGATCATAGATGCAGAGCTGGAAGAGATCTTGGAGTTCATGGTTCGGCTTCTTCGTTTTACAGATAAGGAAACTGAGGCCCAGTGAGTTTAAATGACTTGCCAAAGGTCACACAGATAGTAAACATCAGAAGCAGGAGTCAAACCCAGGTCCTCTGATTGCAAAACCAGTGCTCCTATCACCACAACAGCACAGTCTAACTTCACACCAAGGAAATGTTGGATACGAGATAATTTCCCAAACAGGTTTTAATAGAAGAGGACAAGTGAGAGCATGACGGCCCCAGGGTCCTGAAAGAAGGAAGATGGGAAAGGGAACCAAGGAGAGGAAAGAGAAGCAAAAAAAAAAAAAGGCCAACATTTCAATCTTCATAATTCTGTCTAGAGCTGGCCCTGATTGCTGAATGTCAGGTCATAGCTGTAGCCTCCCCACTTTCCAGAGTGCAAAAGGGAGGCATCATGGTAGAGTCGAAGGATCTGAGCCACGCTGTTAACTTTCTGTCTGATCTCAAGCAAGTCACCTAACTTTTCTCAGCCTCAGTTTCCTCATCAGTCCAATGATGGAGTTGAATTAGACAAAATCTCTTCCAACTCTAAATCTATAGATTTACAGCAATTCTATATCACACAGACATGCAGGATCATAAGACTTAGAATTGGAAAGGGCCTTAGAGCTGTAAGATCATCTATCATGTGTTCTTAACCTGGAGTCCTTGACCTTGTTTTGTTAATCTTTTGAAGTTGCATTTCAACATAGCCCTTCGAAATTCTAAAAATAAATATATAAATAAATAGAATAAAATGAGTTTACTTCACTGGAGGCAGACACCTGACAGAGACTAAATTCTCATAGGATTCAGAGCTGGAATAAAACTTCGACCATTTTGTCCACTTCCTTATTTTACAAATAAAGAAAATGAGGTCCGGATAAGTTCAGTGCTGTGCCCAAGGTTACATGGGTAGGAAGGGAGTAGCAGGACTAGATCAGAGTGCAGGTCACCTCTCTCTGCCTAGACAACGCTGCTGCTGTTGGTCCTTGGAAGCTGTGAGTTCAAGCAAAAAAGGCACTAGACAGCTTATCATTTGTGTAGCACTGGGCAGTTACTTAACCGCTACGAGCATGAGTTTTCTCATGAGAAAAATGATCACAAACATACCTATCCTATGGACCTCTCAATGTCATCAGAAGAAAAACGCTCCATAAATCTCAATGTTTGTTTGTTAACAGGAGGGAGGAGGTCTGATGATAGATATCACTGGTACAGGTAACTCATGGTGAGGAAATCCCCTCTACCAATGCACAATAGTACCGCCTCCACAATTCAGGCTTAGAGGGGATCCAGAAGCACTTAGAGGTTAAGGGACTAGTCACGTCTTACCCGGCCAGTATGTGTTATTGTTGGAGGCTGGCCCTGAACCTAGGTCTTTCTGACTCTAAAGGGGGCTATACAGAGCTCTACCATTGGCTCTGTTACATGGCCAAAGTTTCATAAAACTATGCCGGGGGAGGGGAGAGAGGGAAAGAATCCTAATACTTGTTTTTCTTCTGTAAAATGGAAGTATATGATTTGTTCATGATCTCACCCTCTCTTCAGCCTTTTAT